TTCTCAGGAGGACTGGAGGACTATTTGTCAACTGTCTATCAAAATTTTATATATCCTTTGGTCAAGAATTACATTCATGGGAATTAATCCCACAGATTTATTAACATTTATATAGTCAAGGATGTTGACTCCAACAACACTGGTAAAAGCAAAAGATTGGAGCTACCTATATGTTCATGGATAGTGGACAAACTGAATAATTGATATAACAATGGAGTGACATACAGCTTATAAAAGAATGAGTAGAGCTTTATGTTTGGATAGGTGCATTCTCTCAACTATTTTAACAAGTAAAAAAAAATATTACAAAACAGTGTATGCATAAAAGTGTTCTGGAAGAATACTCAAAAAACTTAAATGTGGCTACCCCAGGAGGTGGGAATGAAAGTGGATGGGGGGACCAGCAGTTGGCCTAATGGCTGTCGCTGGACTCCCATGTAGTTGACCATGGTTCGAGTCCCAGATCCAGTGGCTTCAAATCACGCTGGGCAAGGGTGCATGCATGCCCAAGATCCCAAGAGGAGAATGGAGGAGAAGGGACTGCAGCATGGCCATCCCCCGAGGGGTGATTTCTCACTTTCTGTCTCTTTTTCTTTCTTTCTCTTTCTGGCGAGTGCACTATAGTAAAAGCCTCTAAAAAAAAAGAAAGAAAGAAAGACAGAAAGAAAGAAAGAAAGAAAGAAAGAAAGAAAGAAAGAAAGACAGAAAGAGGATGGGGAAAAAGAGGGATTTTTAATTTTTAATTTAGAATATACTCTTTTGTACAAACTGACCTCTCCCCATTATTAGCAAATTATTATTACAGTCCTTTTAATTTAACTAAGTTATTTTTCCTAGCTCAAACAAACAAAAAAGATGAAAGAGAAGAATATGGAAAAACACAGACAAAAACAAAAAATAAGTAAAAGCAATATTCTCTGTGGTTCCCTGAGTGAGCCCAGAACCTCCTGCTCGCTCTCAGTTTCTCTCCATGGTATATTCACTGGTAAGGAAACCTGACGTGAGGAGCACACTAAATGAAAGGCTAGAAAGTGACAGAGGCGGACTCGATGCTCGAGCTATGGCTTGTCGAAGCCCACGCGACCCTACCTCGGCTCCCCTGGGCCTCTGCTTCCAGGCGGGAAGCGCACGTACTGGCCTGACTGCCCGACGCCGCGCGGCTTCACAGCCTGGCGCACCCGCGGGCTCCATTAATTAAATGAGATATATATTTAATATAGGAAAAGAAGACATTTAAAACAGCTACTAGTTCACCTGTGAAGAGTCTGTATGTTTTGATTTCTAAGAGCACATGAGTTTATGTTTTTACATTACACATTATTTTAAATTCTTATAGTCAAAAAATTCCCCAAATGGACTTTTAAGTGTAAGATTTGAACCATAACTTGTGTGCATCTCTATTAGGATTAATTATATAACATTTGAAAAGAGTGTCTATGTTTTAGTGACTTAGAGTTCTAAGGTTCGCTAATTTACGCTTCACACTGACAGATGTACACCTGTGTGCATTTTGCTGCCGAGCCCAGCGGGCGAGGCCCCGGGCGCCCCGCAGCCGCCGCCGCGCCATGCTCCACCTCAGCGAGTTTTCCGGCTCCGAAGCGCTCCTGGTCAAGTCCACCGAGGGCTATTGCGCCGAATCCAGCGCTGAACTGCCCCGGCTACCCTCCAGGGACGCTCCCGCGGCCGCCAGCTATCCCGGAGGTAAAGAGCTCGGCCAGGGGTGCTCAGACGGCAGCGCTGCGCAGGGGCGCACGGTGCCTGAAAACCGGGACCAGGACGCTGGAGCTAAGGGGCTAGGGGCGATGGGAGGTGCAGGGGTCCTGGGGTGCGCACCCCCATTCCCATCTCCACTCGGCTGCCAGCGCCTCCGCAGGAACCTGTGCATTTATCAGGGCGTTCTTTGGCTTGTGCACGTGTGTTTTGCGTGTGCATGTTTGTGTGTGCGTCTTGGGAGGTATGCTGGCCCCTGCTGGATCTGAACGTGCAAAAAGCACCTTATATGTGTCCGTGCGCTCCGAGGGGTTCGTGGGTAGGTAGGGTCTACAAACTCAGAGGCGTGCCCTTTGGTGTTCCCAGAGCTGATTCCTGCTCCCTCCTCAGCAGGCGACTTCTTGAGCTGGGCTTTGAGCAACTGCGGCACCGGCACCGGCACCGGGGGGGACTTAGCCGACTCCTGCTTCCTGGAGGGGCCTGCGCCCACGCCCCCTCCCGGCCTCAGCTACAGCGGTAGCTTCTTCATTCAGGCAGTACCTGAGCACCCGCACGACCCGGAGGCACTCTTCAACCTCATGTCGGGCATTTTAGGCCTGGCACCCTTCCCCAGCCCGGAGGCGGCAGCATCCCGTTCCCCGCTGGACGCCCCTTTCCCCTCAGGTTCTGACGCCTTGCTGCCGGGGCCTCCGGACCTTTACTCTCCGGATCTGGGGGCTGCCGCCTTCCCAGAGGCGTTCTGGGAGACCTCGCCATCCGTGGGCGCCCCCTCACAGTGCCTGTATGAGCCTCAGCTCTCCCCGCCCGACGTCAAGCCGGGCCTCCGGGCGCCTCCGGTCTCTCCAGCGCTGGACGCTGCCTCGGCTTTCAAGGGCCCCTACGCGCCCTGGGAGCTGCTTTCCGTTGGGACTCCCGGGAACTGTGGGTCCCAAGGAGGCTACCAGACCGCCCCCGAGGCTCGTTTTCCCTCAGTAGGGACCAAGATCGAGGACCTGCTCTCCATCAGCTGCCCGGCGGAGCTGCCAACCACCAGACTCTACCCCACTGGGGCCTACGATGCTTTCCCCCTGGCCCCAGGCGACTTAGGAGAGGGGGCCGAGGGCCTTCCGGGGCTTCTGACCCCTCCTAGTGGGGAGGGTGGGAGTAGCGGCGACGGCGGAGAGTTTCTGGCCAGTACGCAGTCACAGCTTTCCCCGCTAGGCCTTCACAGCGCCACCGCGGCGGACTTTCCCAAACCTCTGGTGGCGGACATCCCTGGAAACAGTGGCGTGGGCGGGGCCGCACGC